TCACTTGTGGAGACAGCGACAGAAAGGTGGATGCAGTCGAGAGGTGTTGGGAGAACGGTGGCGAGTCGGTCACGTGATTCGGTGAATTGAAGGGGGCTAGCATAGCGGTCCGGTGCGGCACGGCACGGCGAGATGGCGAGGTCGATGACGAGCGGCGATTGATCTCACAGGGGTAAGGCACCCTGAACCAGGGGGCGGAGGTCATGATGTCCCCGCGGGCGTCGGTGCGCGCCTTGTGGCCGTAGCGTCGCGGGTCGCTGGGCAGAAGGTCGCCGAGGGTGAAGACGTAACACAGCAGCCACACCAGCACGATGGCCAGGATGATCTGAGCGCAAAACAAGCATTTGTGGGAAAGGCGGCGGCGGCGGCGGCGGCGGCGGCGAACGCTCGCGGCGAGGCCGAGTCGTCCTTTACGGGGAACATCTTGAAGACGTGAACCCGGCTCAGCCGCAGCCCTTTCTTCCTGCTGCAGACGGGAAACGGGAGCGAGGTGGTCCGCAGGTACTGAGCGAACAGCACGATCAGGAGGATGCACCTGGACGGCCGCAAACACGCCGGTCAGCGCGAACGCGGGCTCGGCGCCGGCGCAAAGCGGGCGGGCGGCTCTCACAGCGCCGAGAAGCCCCAGTGCGATCCGGCCCGCTCGCCGGCCGTGTTGAAGACGGACAGGCCGATGAGCGACACGGTGGGCGTGACGGTCAGCGGCCCGATGTACTCCAGCAGGATGCCCGGCAGCCCCAGCAGACCGATGGCCACCTCCACCGTGCTCGACACCATGATGGCGCCCTGGATCTGGCGCGCACACGCACGTGACCGTTCCCGTCAATCGCTCCCAAAAACGCCAAGACGGACGGACGGACGGACGGACGGACGGACGGACCTCTCTGATGCGAGGCTGCCAAACGTGCGACGTGTCCAACGGAAGGGTCCAGTTGCCGTAAATCTCCTCTGTCAACAGGCAGGCACGCGCGCACACACAAAAAAAGGTGAGCAAGCACAGAGATAGCCCCGGACATGTTACCCCCCCCCAAGCACACACAAAGACAGGCAGTGCGGTTTGCGCTCACCCTGGCTGGGGCAGGCCCATCGCTCCAAGCCGAGGATGGCCTGCGCAGGAATGAGGAAGGCCAGCGCGGAGGCTTGAAAGAGAGGAAGTCTACACAACAACAACAACAACAACGGCCACAATCAGCTAGCAAGATTTCCGCTGCGCGCCATCGCAACTTTTCCCGCGTGCTCTCACAAGCTTCGCCTTTCCCCCTCACGGAACCGCTCGGGCCGTCCTGCGAGCGCTCCGAAGAGTCGCGACTCGCTCCCAACGCTGTTCCGACGCTTTCGGGAGTCGCGTCGGAGCGATCAATGACGTCGTCGTCTATTTCGGCACTTGTCATCTTGGCTATCGGCGCAAGCGTTCGCTTCTGCTTCTGCTCATTCGCCTTCCTTGCCATCAACTCGCTGGTGCTCTGGCATTCAGGCACCTTCAAGAATTGTAACCCTCACTCCAACTCCTTCAACACAACCGCCCGCCGGGTTGCCGTCGTGTTCGAAATGTTTTGTTTTTTAAGTCACACGGGGAGGGGTTGCCTTTGCCAGAAAGTGTTGTGGCGACCCTGCCAGCAAGGGAAGCTCGCTCGAGCTCCGTAAGCTCCGCCTACCGAAGGTTCGAGCGCGACGGTCGAGTGAACGCGTGACAATTTGGATCGAGGTCGGTTTCGCCCTCGCCCGGCGACAATCTTTTGACTCAGCTGACCTCCCTTCGCCCATCACCAAGAAAGGGCGAAATATCACCGACGACCGCGGACTTGTTTGGAATTGGGGGGCCAACCGCCGGCGCTCACCTGACTCCCAGGGTGGTCTGGATGAGCGTGGTGATTCCGACGGTGGTGAAAATGGTCCCGATGAGCTGGCTGATGGTGTTCTGGTCCCGGCCCACGCACATGGCCTCGGCCAGCAAGAAGGGGACGGCCACGGTGCCGCTGAAGCAGGTCAGGTAGTGCTGCGCACAGGGGAGGGACCAGACGGCGGCCGCTTCGCCGCGCGACGGCGACGGCGGACCTTTGCGGCCTACCTGCAGGCCGAGCAGGATGCACAAGTACCAAGGTGGGACGTCCTCGATGGTGTAAATCATGTCCGAGCCCAACTTCTGCTCTCCGATCGGCTCTTTGGTCGACTCGCTGCCGCGCCCCCTCGGGACGTCATCCTGACTCTGCACGGAACAAACGTCCCGTTTCTGCTGCTCATTTGCACTCCCCCCACGCGCCAAATATTTTCTTGAAATCTGCGCAGATACACTTGTCACGGTGACCCCAGTCAAGCGTCCCCTGACCCCGCAGTTCATGACAAGCGCCTGTAGAGGGCGGCCTGTAGCCGGGTGAACCGCCTTTGAACCGCCTCCATCAACGCGGTGCCACCGCGCTTTCATTTCGGTCGCGCGAGCACGGAGGTTGTTCATCCACAGTGGTGGCGGGCGACTAAGTGGTCCGGTGAAATTTGATCAGATCGCCGCACTGGAGTTGATCTTTTTCCGACATGAACGCGACTCAACTCAAGTGTACTTCTTGAGCGCTTGAAATCAACCAACGTGCTGTACGTGGAGCAAATATCAGATGCACAACCCACAGCAAGCAGAGGTCAATCTGCCCCGCTTGTCACAAAATGTTTTTGCATTTGCAACACTTTTCTCCCGACGCTATAAAAGCAATTATTTGTACTTTGGACTTGGTCCAAGTGGCGCTTGTTTCAGCCTGAGCAGGTGATGACACGGAGGGGGCATTTCGAAACAGTAAGCCGTGCCTCCGTTCCATCTGGGCTCCGTTATTTTGGAGTCATCCAGTCCTCCCTCAAGCGTCTCCGGTTGGTCCAAAACGCTGCTGCTCCCCTCCTCATTGAACCTCGTAAGGGGAGCGCAAAACCTCAACCCATACGGCTAAGGTGTCGTTTTTCGGTCGTGCTCATGAGCAGCTCATGAGCTTTTTTTCTTTCCACTTTTACTTTCACTTGACAACAATATGGGAACGCGATTTAATAGCATGGAAGTTGAGCTAATGCTAGCAAGCTGCTAAACTCGTGTAAGGCAACATGATTTTTTTTTTCATCCTACGAGGACTGTGTAAGATTGTAAAACATGTTAAGTCATTTGCATAGAGTTTTGTGACAAGTTATCAAAACAGATATTGGACAAAATTCTTTTTGTGCTTGAGTCCATTTCATAGTCTGTATTTTCACTTACTTTTAAGTACAGGAGTCGATTGAGTTTTTCCACTATACTGGTCCCCCCCCCCCTCCGGCCCCTCCTTCGATTTTGTGTGAATACTTGTTTTTATAGTTTCCACTTAAGATCAATAATGCCCTTTACCTTGCAGTCGTCTTGACCGGCAGCCATGTTGATGCGGGAAAGAAACAAAAGCGTTCCGCGTCTCGGCCCGGCTGAGGCGAAACAATCGAGCCATAATCTTCGTGGACTTTCACCTGAAAAACACAGAGCGATAAATCAATTACTTTAGGAGCGTCGCCTCATCAATGATTACACTATTAGCCATTAGGCCGCTGCACGCGTTCACGTTTTCAAGAGGACACCGAAGCCGCTTCCGTAATCGCGCCAATGGAGGCCTGGGAAAGGCGGCCGGCCTTCAAATTCAATCTTTTGGCATCCCCCAATAAAAATCGGACTTCCTATACGAAACAGAAAATGACAAGGACATCGGTCCAAACCCGTTGTGTTTTTTGTTTCGCCTCCATGTTGGGATTTGCAACATTTTTTTTTGGGGGGGGGGTGGTAGTGTGAGCTGTCGTTTGCTTGCCTCTTTGGGCTCTTGAGAGACGAGTGCGCTTCGAACCACCGCCGCCAGATGGCGACAGCGAAGCGGTACAGTCTATTCAAGTCAGTGATCCAAAACGTTGCGGTCAGCTGTGCTGAAAGGTGCTGACTCGTCCGACTGCAGCCGGTGAAGCAAATCCTCCAAGTCGGCGGTGTTTACGATGACAGCGCCGCCTGGCGTCTGTCCATTGACTCATACGAGTCCCCCGTGCTTCCGGTGAATCCGGAAATTGGGGTCGGCAATTGCACTCGTCTTGAGTCTGCTTGAGGTTGTGGACCGAATCGTCTCAGGTCCCGAGCCGGTCAGCCAAAGGTTCGGACTGAGATGTTGCCTGCCTGCCTGCGAGAGGGAGCCGACGCTCACTTTGGGTCCAGTTGGGGATTTTGACAGACTGCCATCACCACAACAGCAAAACTCTTCACGGTGCCACCTTTAAAATGTCGCCTCTCACTGGGTGATTACAAGGGGAGTGGGGGGGGGCGTAACGTATAGGGGAACGCCCTTTTTACCTTTTCTCCTGCCACGAGCGAGCGTGTCGTCATCACGGGCCTCGGCGCGCACGGGGGTCTTCATCTTGTTCCGAGCTGCGGCGTTCTTTGCCATTTGTGACGAACAAAACACACAACGCAAGACCTCCTGGACAGAAAGCTGCGCAATGCGGCGCAAGCGCGCATTTCCTCCTTGGTCGCCGCAGGTGTCAGGTTTTCCAATCCCAAAACGCTCCAAACATCACTTCGCGCCGATCAAAGACGCCCGTCCGAGAATCGAGCAAGACCGTTGATCGTTTCCCCAACGCAGAGAGCAATCAAACCATCGGTCGGCTTTCATCGATGGACGACGGAAATCGGCCAATATTTCCTGTCGAGAGGCCGACATTCCAACGAATTTGGACAATCGTTCCACAAAGACGATCGATTGATGATCCGAATAGTTGTGCGATGACATTAATCGTCAGCTTCGTTGTATCTTCACGCGAGATTTTCCGTTTTTATTTCAACAAAGGCCTTTCGGCAGGGAAGCACTGACCCCCCCCCCGCCCCCCAAACATTGTTGACACCAACCAAAATAACGACCGTACTCATCTGTCGAAAGTAATGATGCCGAATGGATATTTGGCGAGTGACATCCCACTGGCGCCTTTTAGCAGCAGAAACTGGATTCACCAATCAATCACACGCGACACCACGTGCAATATTTTATTGCCTTGCTCATCCTTCTTCCTATGAGAAGCTAACGTGAATTAGAAGAAGAAGAAGAAGAAGAAGAGGAAGCCAGCGTGCTCTGCTCGACGAGCGTCCCGGACCAAAGGGGCGGCGACGTCGGCGATCGGCTCCATAAATAGACTCATTCGCTTTGATTCGGCACGGGCGGGCCGATGGCGGCGGCGCAGATGACGTCAGCAGCTCTTCAGGGACGCGGAGCTGGAACGACAGAGACGTCACATGATGTCACCACAAACTCTGACGTGAGGCCGCTCGGATGGCGGATGGAAAAGCGTTGCAGCGCGCACTCGGCTCGTGGCGCGGACATCGGCGAGGGCGAAATGTCAAAACCTGACGAGTCCGGTGCGCACAAACGCCTCGTCGACTAAGTCAAGCTGTCAAAGCGTTTGATAAGCGGCGAGTTCCAGCGGAGGAGATACATCGTTGGCTTGACGAGTAAAAAAAAAAAATTGCACGCACTCGTGGAACAAACGTCCGACTGGTAGTTTGACCTTTTGCCCCCCTCCCCCGCCTCTAATATTGGACACGACGAATACAACAAGGGGGCAGTCCGAGTGAAGGGCTTGGTGACTTTGACGTCACCATGAGTACGAGTAGCAAGCAGATTTGCCACAAGTGCACTTGAAGTTCGCTTCGAACACGGAGTTGCTCTCTCGGGGGGGTTTTGGACCCGCGGATCGCCGAGTGGCCGGAAAGGCCGTCGTCGCCTCGCGCCAAAGTGCAACCGCGGCCGGCCACGTGCGGCTCGCGTTATTTTTTTTTTTTTTGCGTCTTGGACTTTGGCCGCCTGCTCATGTGGCGATGCCAACATGGCAGTATTTTCCCCACTCTGCTTGCTTCCAAACACTCTGTTTGCAGGTAAGAAAATCCGAGAACAAAGAGGCGGGGTGGGGAAAAAAGAGAGAGACAGAGAGCGCTGGGGGGGGGGGGAGGCGCCGCGAGGGCAGCGGGGG